ACAGTTAATGCTCAATTTCTTAACATGAAATAATAACATCATCTTCATATTCAAATGGACATTTCTTTTTCTTTTTTGTTTTTGTTATCTGAAGCTTCCGTGAAAAAGTCTGAACCAAGGAATTTAGAACACGCCGTAGATTATATTATGGAGCTGCGTGATCAATGCTCCATTTTTACAAATGATATAGAATCTTTATATTCTGATGGACATTTTTTTTTCTCTCTCTGTCTTTTCTTGATAGGTTCCTTGAAAGATTGTGAACGGGGAATTTAGATCATGCCGAAGATCATACTTTTTCTGGGTTGAAACTCCCCGTAAGCGGGGAGATGAAGAGAAGGTTTCTACTTGAGATGACAACGGAAAGTCAAACCACTTTGGGCACTTTCACACCACTTGAGAATTTGGTTCAACAAAGACAGTGCATTCAGGGCTAGACACTAGAACAGGCTCCCAGTGTGCATGGGCCCCTGAAGTTTAACTATTGGGCTCCTATGATTATGGAACTTAGGCAAAGCGCCCTGTGCCCACAGGGCTTGGGAATAAAATGAATACAGACCTACAATGAAAATATATTCCTTCTGATGTTACATAAATGACATGATGAATACTGCTTTATTACTCACAAATCACACATAAACTTTATTCCAATAGAATTTGTACTAGCCTAAAACCACTTCTATCACAATTATCGATTCTGATATATTCATGGGCAAATAATTTGCTGTTACATCAAATTAGAACCGTATTAAGTATTATACAATATGCATGTACATGTAAGTACTGCCTCAGTATCTGTTTTTATCAATGAGATGACAATGACATTGACAATTCAATTTTAATTCTTGAATGACACCTCTATCATTCCAACAGTTTTGAGTCATCCCAAGCCCAGCAAAAGATTTTCCATGACAGTTTGAGATGATGTAAAAGGAGCCATTGTGAATCTTTGAAGGAGGAGGTTGCACTATTCAAGGACTCTTATTAGGTTTGCTGGACACGTTTAGGGCATCGCAAAAGTGCACCCGCACCCTCCCCTCTCAAACTCCCAGAGCTACACACTTTCAATGTATCCCGAATTACCACTGCTTCACAGGTCTATTTCACTAGAACCAATCTTCCTATTTGGCCTTTTGAGGCAGCTTTAAAGGTACTTTTAAAGATTTGTTTGTTGAAAATCAGTTGCAAGTACTACTCCTTTCGCACCTTCCCCTCTCCAACTCTCTGAGCCTCACTTTCATTCAATTGTATCCAAAAAATAAATAAATAAAATGCCACCACAAACAAAACATAGCTCTTGAAATAAGAAAAAATAATCAATGTTTAGGGGAAAACTAAAGCCGATTTTCAATTAAATAAATGAGAATTCTATTAAGTGTCACAAACAACCTTAAACAAACTCTGTACACATAGTCATCATTATTATTCATTCCAATATTTACGAACATGTACATGTACATGTACTTACATGTACTTATACTGTTTATCTCATTGTATATCCATCTATTTTTTGCCCACATGGGTTGGGTTCTGTCCTGTTTCTTCTATTAAAAAAAAAAAAAATCAGCTTCACAAACTAGTCGTTGCATGTAGTAGTGTCTGAAAAAGAGACTACAATAGGCTCTGTACTTAAGCTGCTCTGTACAAGCAAAAACTGGATTTAATACTTGTATAGGCTCAGCTGAAGGCTTTAGGAATTGCGGTAAAGTGTCAAATTAGATCTATGTAACAAGTTTCCTCTGCTTTGTTTTTGTTTTCTCTCTTTAAATCAGGAAACCAAAAAGGACAGACTACACAAAATTAATAAAGCTTCTACTTTAGTCAATGCGAAATAAATACTGGACTAATAACACTGACCCGTCCCGGAAAATTACCCACATTTTTCGGTTTTGGCCCAACGATTACTTTGATTCAGAGCTTTTTTTACTTTTTTGAGGCCTTTCATGATCATTTGGAAGCGCAATTTTTTTTCAACGCTTTAATATTACACAATATTACAGATGCTGTTAACACGTACTGTAAGGGGCCAAGCATCTCAGATTTGGCATTGTTAAACAATTCCTCTAAGTGTTCTTGGGTACAATCTTTGCTGAGGTCCATACATGTATGTATGCAATGTACAAATGTAGAGGTAGGCCTATATCAAGATCAGGTCATTGATTACAACATCAGATATTACCTCATATCAAGGTCTTCTTTTTCATGAGAATTGAAACCACTTGTTTTGTCATTTTTTCTTTTCATTTCATTCATGCTCCTGTCAGGGGAGGGGGTTGAAAGAACAAAAGAGTATTCCACAAATGAGCAAGCAACAAAAGGGGACAGCCCTGGCAGCAGCATGGATTGGGGCCACACACTCTAATGCACTATTATAAATGAAATGTAAGGTAATAAATTGGCTGCCCGTCAAAAATACATATGGCCAGGTATCCTTCGATCAAAGGCCACTTCTAATGGACCCGGTGGAGTGGAAAGATAGCTTGTTCAGACTATAAGATATTTAATTGAAATTCGTATACCGGTAATGATTCATTGTGTCGTGAAAGGGGCATACAGACTAGAAAACAAATTGCATACGATACAAAATTCAGATGAGAACTGGACCCTGATTCTTTGAGTTATTTACTTAAACTGAAGCTCAAACATGTGCTTCACCCAAATGTTTTCTTGTACCAAATCCCTTTTTTCAGACTAGGATACATGTACCTGTACTGTATGCAATTACTTGTTATACAGCTATACAATGAAATCTGGTAGTGTGAATGAAGGGGAGAGACTTGGCTCAGGTAATTGTGGAAGTCAATGGAATGAGAACAGATATGACCTGAAATTGAAATATTTGTTATGGGTATTGATGTAGATAGCCTTGGCTACCCTGGGATGAGTGGGTATTAGGGAATAGGTACATGTAGGAAGGAAGCATTAATAATAGTAGATTATCCAAATATTTAAGGGGTTTGCATTGCTTTTTACACCATTTGTTCTATTTTGTAGCCCACTTTGGGTGTCATCATTATTTTCCACTACTTCTATGGACCTGTAAATAAGTTTGATTTGTTATTGTTGTTAATTATCGGCTTATAATTTTGGATATTGAGTATAATTTTCCCACTTATATGTTTCTGTAATGAAATATTCCAATAAACAATTTTTATATTTGCAACAACAATTATCTGTTAGAATATGGTTTTAATAGTTTTGTAAATGAAGAAAAAACAAATAAGCAAAGACCTACTCTTGCATATCATAAACATGGAAGATATAGTAAAGTCAATAACGATAGAATAGAATAATAATAATAAAAATAATAGCCTGTCTTGTATAGTCTCTGGAAATTATTACACAGTGCACTTCAAGGAACAGTCCTACCAGGTACCCATTTACCTCACCTGGGTTTGAGTGTGGCAAATGTAGATCAATGTCTTGCCAAAGGACATTAGTGCCGCGGTGGGACTTGAACCGTGGACCTTGTGATCCACAGTCCGGTGACATATCCACTCGACCATGATACCTCTAGAATTGGGTAGGATCAGGTAAAAGATTTCTTCTTTTTCATGAATCCATCCCTTACAACTATATCCCTACAGTGTTAAAGCGTCCAACGACCTGAAATACACTTCTATTGTCAGAATGCTCTTTTCACATTTCAAATAAAAATTTGCCCCCAAGAGTAACAGTTTGGGGCATTTTGGATGCATGCAATGGCTTTAGGTAGAGTTCTGAAGCCCCTGTGTGTAATGAGCATTGGCAATAAGTTCATTGAACAGTATTCCACAAAATGCTTGCCAAGTCACAATGTATACTACAGGCTCTGAAAGCGCCCAAGCTGAAGAATATGCTTGTAAATAAAGGCCCTTTTCCACAACCATTGGCAGGATTTAGCTCCAAGTCCAAGTCATTGGGGCAATTCCACGGTAACGGAAGGACACTCAGACAAGATTTTTGAACTTCAGGTTCATACTAAAAGAAATGTTTTATTAGTATGTATTAAACTATGGGGAACAAAATGTGTTTCAGTCAAGTGGAAAGCTTCATCAACTTCACAAAGTTTGGATAAACACTAATTAACTGGAAAAACCATGTCCATTTTTATGTCCTTCCGTTACCGAGATAATTAATAGGCACATTCTTAAACTACTTAACTATAATGACAATTTTTTGGGGAGAATTAAAGGCACTTATATAGGTATTATATCTGTACTGTTTCACATCTTATACTAATAAAACAGTTATTTTAGTATGAACCTGAAGTTCAAAAATCTTGTCTGAGTGTCCTTCCGTTACCGTGGAATTGCCCATTGCTAACGTTATTGAAGGGTCAAAATAGAGCCTATGTCAACAAACTAATACTACGGGTGTATGTTATATCCAATATTTCATATTGGGTGAATATTAATCCTGAATATAATTTTCCAATACCTCATGTAAGCTTCAGGCTACAAATATCCAAGGTTTTAAAGAAGTTGTTGTGAATTTATTCTTCTATCTGTGAGAAATTCCATGTAAATACAAATTTTCAGTTGCACTGAATAGTGTGCAAGTTGAACAAGAACCATCTATCAAAATGTACTTTGAAATGACAGTATGAAGTACTGACTTTTTGGCAATCTTTCAGCCTGGAGGAAAGACTAGCGGTAGGTAGAAGATAGGCTGACCTTGTAACCCATGATTTCAGAGTGATAGTCAAATATTTCTTCTTGCCTGACCATGATTCATTCCAAATTAATTACAACCAGGGACTGAAATGCCTCTATCAAGTTAAAGGACGATCAGATAGAAAAGAGAGAGAGAGAGAGAGAGAGATCCTCACTAATGAACACGTTGCACGAGATGGTTTCGTAAATAAGTCTAGTGTTAGGGTTTGTTTTGGCTTGTCACTAATTAATTGAGATCAATGCTCTAAGTACGCAGTTGTAATAAAACAGATGCATGTCTGTATAGGATGTACTATGTAATAATGGAAAATTTTCAAAGCCATTGCCATACAGCATTCACTGTTCTTTTTTTTTTTATAAATACAAAATGGATGGACTAACACAACTGAACATGTATTCGCCAAACATGTAGGTTTAATTTACTTTTCTGAATCATGAATCACATTAATCAACTAGCTTATTTAGCCTGTAACCAATACTCGGATCGGGGGCTGATCTGGTGAAATTGGATAATAAATTCTGATCGCTGATCAATGAAAATGATCGGAAAATAATCAGTAGGAAAAAAAAGGAAAAAAAATGCTGACAATTTTCAAGTTTGGGGCTATCATATATACTTTAAAAAAGGAATAGCTGGGATTATTTTGTCCTTTGGAGTTGTTGTAGACCATGTTTGTTGATATTATATGTAAGTGTATTTTCATGACTTTGAAATTAATAATATTAGTCTAAGAGACGAGGTAAAATATGCGAGCTGCCATTTTGGATTATAACGTAGGCATTTTGTTTCCATTGTTATTATAATCCAAGATGGCGGCTCGCATGAACTACATCAACTTGAAATGAGAGAATTATCCAAGGGTATCGCTCCGATCTTCCAATCCTATCAAAGCCCAGCTTACAGGGTTATACACATTCTGACATTTGAAGTTTCCACACATGTAATTAAATGCCTGTTACATGTGAATGACCTTGAAAGGCTATTAACAGCTTAGGTTTGGGAAAATATAATATAGTTTTCGGACCAATTAGGTTTCCAATCCTTTCAAATTCCTTTTTTGCCTTTTTATGTTTTCCTACTTGGAAACAGCAAATTTGTCTTTACAGAGAATCGAAACAAACCAGAGTAGAAATAACAAATTAGTGTCGGCTATTCCTTGATCACTCTGTATAAAAAAATTGCAAAAGTATGATTTCCTTACAGTTATTTTCAAGAATCATATTGTTTCTCTTGTCAAAGCTACTTTTAGTTTCCCAGAGCTCATTCTACTTGTAAATGCTGTACATCTTACCTGAGTCCACTGATGTTTTTGGTTAGGACCGTAGAGTCCGTTGTATGAGGTATATGGTTCTGATCGTGGCCAGTGGCCAGTGAGGTAGGGTCCTGCTATTGTATCAAGGGAACTTGTCCTGCGGATTTGCGGTGCTGGACTGGCCCGCACTGCTTTAGGCTTCTCAACTGTAGGTAGGAAGAAGTGATACAGAGAGAGAGTAGAAATAGAATAAATATGTCATTTAAAAGAGAATACTAAATGGTAATCATTTATTGCTGATGTCTTGATTAGACTACATATTATACACATTGTAGTATTACCTTTTTAGAATACGAAGCCTAAGAAAACTCATCCTGGAACCACAAACGTGATTGTGCAATACATGCTCCTAAAACAAGAAATTATATGATGTGATTTCATTAATTCTTCATATTCAACATCCCCTGTCAATAAGAATGCCATGATACATTGTAAAAGACCAACATATCAGTTCTATATGATTATTCACCACTAGACAGAATATACTTTCATGTAAAATGGCAGAAGGACTACCAGAAAATCCTATCACAAAGAAAGGATTTCGGCATCAACACATTGTTCGCTGAACTCAAGCAAGAGTTAGATTAGAGTACATGTACATACATGTAAAGCATCCCATTCATGTTTGCTACAAGCGCTACACCAAATACAGGAACCATTAACATTATTACCATTATGTAAACCGGTGCTACATCTCACAAAGTAAGTGTGACACCAAACACACCTGAACTGATATCAAACTTGCAATATTTACTGTTTATAGTCTCGAAGAAAAAAAAAATCATACAAATGGGGCAAGTACATGTACAATGGGAAATACTTGTCCCTAAAACTTGCCCCAGTCAGGCGAGTTGGATGTATTTATTTTATTTGTGTAATATATAGTCATGAATGGTTCAAACTGATTTGATACTTTCATATTTTTCTTAGTTTGTTATTGAATGGAACCAGTACGTACATGTAGGTATCCATTTTTTCTATGCCTTTCTCAGTAGGAACATTCATGAGGTACATTTAATTATGGGTAATGCAAACTGTAATACAGAAAAAAACTTCTCCAGGGAGGTCATTTGCTTCGTAAATGTGCATATACCCCACCCCCCCCCCCCCCCCATTCAAAACAGGACAACATCAATTAACCCCAATCTGTCCAAGCAGATAATTTGTGTAAATACACTTGCACATTACAAGCCAAGTGCACAATGTGATCGTCCTAACTGAGACCTTGCCCACACATGGGTATCACATGCCGAGCTCATGCGTCATGTTCACCACATACACGTACGGATGTTTTAGTGAAGACACAGTTTCTCATCAAAGAAAGAAACCATGAAATTATCATAAAATTTATAAATTACATGAATTCAAGAATAATGTATGCTTTAAAATAGTGTATGGACAAATTATAAGAATTATTTGTTTTGTGATCAATTTATTCATGACTGTCCATGTATGTGAACTACATGTAGGCCTCAACGAATACAACGTAAGGTAATTTAAAGCTATGTGTATCTCTGGCTAGCCTAGATTCGATCATACTCCCAGCTTGATGTAAACAATTGCATCTTTGTCTAGTTTAGGTCTACAAAATGACCAACTTAGCATGTACAAATATATGTACTTTACATCTAGAGCAAGATTGCATTTCATTTATTACTCAAAATTCAACTTACCCAGTACACCATGCAGATGTACATTGTACATGATAATAAGTATATATTAAATTTTTATAAATGGAGGCAACAAATAATAATAATAATAATAATAATAATACATATAATTTATAAGGCGCCAAATCCACTTGATAGTCAAATACTCAAGGCGCAGCTTGTGCAAAAGATGAAATACATACATGATACATTTATACAAAGTGGATAGGAAAGGTACAGACATGAAAGGTTATGGTAATCAATTATAAGCTAAATTAAACAGATATTTCTTAAGATTGTTTTTTAACACTTCAGCAGAACTGCTATTTTTAATCCATTGAGGGAGAGTATTCCATAATGAAGGTCCAGCATGAGCGAAGGTTCGCTCCCCCCACTTTGTTTTAACCCTAGGAGTAACAAGTAAGCCAGAGTTTTGAGAACGTAGCTGTCTAGAAGGAAAGTAATGCTTAAAGGTAAAGACAAGTTATGGTCATGCGATTGCATTGTGAAAGAAACGTTGTGGAATCCATCAGAAAAGGTTGATCATCTAGCATCTAGCATCTGCAAGGTTCTGGAATCATCAAAATGATAAGAAATTTGGTCCATTCTTCGTAAAGTTACAAGCACTATACACAGAAAGATGTATATGGGACTACCCTATATCTCTCGCAGACCATGAGAGAAACAAATTTACCAAATATATGAATTAGTAGGCGGTTTCCCGGCAAATTTTTTATCATTATGTATTAGTCAAAACATATTCTTTCACATGATTGGTAATGAGAGCTTCCATTTCATTTTTTGAAATTGGGGCGTTTCCAATACTGGTCTTTACCTTTAATCAAGCCGATGTTATACTGCGGAGCAGAGCCATGTATACAGTGAAATAATAGCAAAATAATCTTGAAAACAACACGTTTTTCTACGGGCAACCAATGGAGTGATTTGAGGACTGGTGTGATGTGACTACTTGTTGGACAGGGTCACGACACGAGCAGCAGCATTCTGTAATCTTTGTAATTTTGCGAGTAGGTTGTGAGGCGAACTAAACAAAAGGCCATTACCAAAATCTAAGCGAGAAGAAATTAAAGCATGAGTAATTTTCTCAGTACTTGGTACTTGGTTGTTGTTCCTCCAAAAGATTCCTAGTGGAATTTAAACTGGAGGTCGTGGTGGCACTACGGTAAAGATATTTACGAATAAAACCCAAATTGCGTAACTGATAACGTACTGATTTTGAGACTTTTGAAATTGTGTAGACATTGTCATGTTTGAGTCGAGAAATACACCAAGGTTGTGACATACATTAGATAGGGTAATTTCATGTCCAGCAAGAGTAATTGAAGTGATGGAAATCTTCTCTGAGTTTTAGAACCATACATTATAAATTCGCATTTGGCGAGATTTAATTTAAGTGAATGTGAGTTTAACCATTTATGAACATCTTGTACACAAATCTCAATGTTATGGATAGCGCTGGCTGCATTGCTCTGATTGGGTTTGAAAGAAGTATATACAAGAGGAAGATCGATCGAGCTACACTGTACATGTACATGTACATGTAGTCAAGGCTGGCCCTGTTGAATACCGTAAATCTCTGTGTATAAGATAACAAAATAATGTACAAAATAATTAAAAACCAAATTTGATATTCCATCCCCTCTGGTTGAAGGGAAGGTGATACTAAAAATTGAAAGAAATAGGTCAATGAAAGTTTTAGCAAAATCTGATTATAAAGGAGAAAGTTATGAATTTGTTCAGTTGTCATGATCAGTCGAACACAAATTGTCAACACTGACGTATTTTGCGAGCCTCTCTCCAATTTGCTCTGTACAGAAATTTTCTAAACTTTTGTTTGCTTAGTTATTGATGATGGAATTGATTTGTTATAGAAACATTTTGCAACAATAATATTTAGAGTGAATGTATGATTGAACATTTCATTGAGGGAAAGTATAGTTTTTGTTTATTTTTTAGTACAGGGCAAATGGGAGAGGAGTTTGCAAGATTCATGGAGTTGCCAATTTGTGTTTGGTTGATTGCACCTTCAAAAATATCTTTCTTATTTTAAATTGATTTTTACTCAAACTTTCACTCACCAGTTTCCCTCATTTTCATGCTTCTATTAAAGGTACTATGTCTCATTTGCAGGCCAAAAATATGAAAAGGTTATTTCCAACGGCATTTGAAAGATAATACTAATTTCAAACTTCCCTAAAAAATGGTCGTACGTTTTATGCTGCGCAAAGATTCAATCAGTTTAATTTTGGCCATTACAAGAAGTGGGTTATTGATGTAGACAAATGCTCATGTACCCTTTACAGCTCATTTTATGTATGTTATTACAAAAGAAGAAAAAGAGCAAGTCAGTCAGTCACTCAATAGTGTCTGACAGTGAAGTCTAGCAAGTAAACGGGTTTCCTTGCATAATTTGAATATTAGGACACTGCTAACATTTAAATTTCACAGATAGGACATTCATGAAATATTCTTAATTCCTGCAGAGTTCTACAGAATTTGATGTTGGCTGCAAAAGGGACATATCGGTAGTATCTTTAAAACCAACTTAATATCAGGGCAGACTTCCCCTTTAAACAAGCTCTCTGCCCGATTTTAAAGGCCATTGTCACACAAATTCATCACTACCATCTTGAGACTGAATACAATACAACAATTCTTTGGGTAGACTGCTAAAACTAATAGTTTTCTCATTTTCTTATTCTCTCTCCCCCCCCCCCCCCACCTTCCTCTCTCTCTCTCTCTCTCTCTCTCTCTCTCTCTCTCTCTCTCTTTGAGAATGGAAGTGCCTTTGACACTGTCCAATGGCTCGCAGCTAAAATATCATTTTTCCCCCCATAATTGAATAGATTTTCAAATGCACATGTGTGGTCACATGGTAAGGGTAAAAACAGGTGCAAGTTCATCCCCCCCAATTTAGAACAGCAAATTGATTTTCTCTTTTTTCAACACTTCTTGGATTCCCACATCCCATCCCCTCCCCCCTCTCTCTCTCTCTCTCTCTTCCCTTTCTTTCTTTTTAAACAAACTCTTCAGTACTACTAGTTTCTTTGTCTTCCCCATCTCTCTCTCTCTGTCTCTGTCTCTCTCTCTCTCTCTCTCTCTCTCTTTCTTGGGGTGCGTTTATCATCCCTTTCCTGGCCTAGAATCAGCGTTTTCAAATGTGTTTCAGGCAAATTTGCATGGTGATAAACGCAAGCCTGTTTCCAAACGTCTTTCGATATGGGTATATTGAAATGGCCCCCAAAATTGTGTTTTGAATGTGAGAATGAGCTCTTTTTGAGTGACAAAAGATGATAAACACACCCTTTATCTCTCCCACCTCTCTCTCTCTCTCTCTCTCTGTCCGCCTGTCTCTCTGTCTCTCTGTCTCTCTCTCTCTCAACTTGCTCTTTCTTTCTCTCACTCTTTAGACTTTGCCCATGTTTTCTCCACTAGTAATGGAAAGTTCATTTGTTCATACATTCGTTTGGAAGGCC